TTCCGCGAAACTCCACCACCAATCTAGAAGCGATGCCGCCCCGAGATGCCTTGTTAATGGGTGTCCGGAAGCGTGCAATGGAAACGAGGGTTGGGGGTGCGCATTACGCCAAGAGGGGGGCTTGGAGGAGGAACCGGGGAAAGGAGGACGAGGAAACAAGAGGAGGAGGAGGAGGAGGAGGAGGAGGAGGAGGGCGGGGAGGGAAGAGGGAGGAGGGAGGAGGAAGAGCAGGCGGACGAGGAATAGTAGGAGACGGGGGCGAGGGGGAGGAGGACAAGGAGGAGGCGGAGGAGGAGGAGGAGGAAAAGAATGAGGAAGAGGAGAGCGGGCAAAAAGGCCAGAGGGCTTTTGGATGGGACCTCGTGGAGTGTCTTGGGTGCCTCGTGGGAGCCTCGTGGGGTCTCCTGGGGGTGTGTTGGGAACCTCTTGAAGACCGCTTGGGGCGCTTGTTGAGGCCTTCTTGGGTCACCTTTGGGGGCCATCGGGGGGGCCACCCTGGACGCAATCGATAAGTAAAGGGGTCGTGCCACATTAAGCCCCAACCCGTCCAGGAAGCCAACGTGTTCCCACAACCATCAGGTACTTGAGACTTTTCGTCGATGCCATCTTGGACGCTCCAGTCGCCCCCCCCCGTCCAGGTCCAGGGTTTGGGGGGGGGTCGGCGAAGGGGTAGACCCCTTCCCGAAGGGGAAGAAGGGCGTGGGAGGAGGAATCGCTCAAAGCCGTTTACGCCCTGAAGGGCCGGTGGGATTTGGGCCCTGATGTCGGGGGAACCAGCGTCATCGTCATCGTCAGCATCGTCCCTCCGCCTTCCCTGTCTGCTCTTCTCTTTGCTCCTGTCCCCCCCGTCCTCACGCCTCCTCCTTCCTCACGCCTCCACGCCTCTGCCGAAGGGAGAAGGGCTGGAGAAGGAGCCGCCATCGGGGAGGAGGGAAGAGCAGGATGAGCGGGGACAGCGATGCAGAGCGGAGGACGCGAGGGGGGAGGGAGGCGCAGGAGGGAGCGGGAGGGGCCGGGGAAGGGAGGCGGACGGAGGAGCGGGAGGGCTGAGGAGCGAGCACACCTCTCCCTTCCCTTTTCCCCCTCTCCCTCTCTCCTCCCCTTCCCCTCTCTCCTCTCCCTCTCTCCTCCCCCTCCCCTCTCTCCTCCCCCTCCCCTCCACTCTCTCCTCTCCTTCCCCTCTCTCCTCTCCCTCTCTCCTCCCCCTCCCCTCCCCGCCCCCCCCCCCCCTGGGAAGCCGTTGTTGCTCGAGGAGGGAAGTCGGGGGGCGGGCGCTGCACACGGGCACCCCCGAAGGCGCCGTGCCGCCGCCGCCCCACCAGGGGGGGGGGAAGAAGGAGGGGAAGGAGGGGCAAGCTAGGGCAAGCTAGGGCAAGCTCGGGTAGAAGGAGGGGGGGCAAGCTGGGGCAAGCTGGGGCAAGCTAGGGTAGAAGGAGGGGGTGGGGCAGGCTGGGTGCGCTCGCGTCATGTCTGACGTCCTGCCCCTGCCTCCCATCCCTGGCCATGGCGTAGACCTCCGCTCCATTTCGCACAGTCGGATGCCGCAACTTGGCACAGCACTACAGGGTATAGCATGGTGTTGGAAATCAACGCGTAGCATGACATAGCATGACGTGGCGACACCCCAAAGTGGGGGGGCGGAGGGGGTGGAGCAGGAGGCGTCGCCAGGAACGTGGAAACGTAAGACTCGAGTAAGCCCGAACTCGGGCCTGCCGACGTTTTTTGGCGAGCGCGTCTTGGGTTTTGAGGGTCCAGTTTTCGTGGGATTTCTGCAGCGGGGGCTCGCGTCAGATTTCAGGCTCGGTTTCGTCTTTTTTTACCTAACAGCGAAGACTGATAGGTTTCTAGTGGGGTAAAAAAAGCTCACAGATCACTCCACAGGGGGGTCCGGGCAGGTGTTGGGAGTTGCCGGGCGGCAGGGTGCCCCGCTCGTTTTTCACCAACAGTCACACACTTCGTGCTCTTCGATTTCCCAGAACTCCATTCCCAGGCCACATTCTGGAGGGCCGGATGCCAACTGTAGGCCACTTCGTGCTCTTCCATTTCCCAGAACTCCATTCCCGGGCCACATTTTGGATGCCCGGAGCCAACTGTAGGCCACTTCGTGCTCTTCTTCCCAGAACTCCATTCCCGGGCCACATTTTGGATGCCCGGAGCCAACTGTAGGCCACTTCGTGCTCTTCTATTTCCCAGAACTCCATTCCCGGGCCACATTTTGGATGCCCGGAGCCAACTGTAGGCCACTTCGTGGTCTTCGAGTTCCCAGAACTCCATTCCCGGGCCACATTTTGAATGCCCGGAGCCAACTGTAGGCCACTTCGTGGTCTTCGACTTCCACATTTTGAATGCTGAGGCAGGCTGGCTGCTGCTGAGGCTGAGGCAGGCTGAGGATGAGGCAGGCTGAGGCTGAGGCCGAGGCTGAAGGCAGACTGAGGCTGAGGCTGAAGCAGGCTGAGGCTGAGGCTGAGGCAGGCTGAGGCTGAGGCTGAGGCAGGCTGATGCTGAGGCAGGCTGAGGCTGAGGCTGAGGCTGATGCAGGCTGAGGCTGAGGCAGGCTGAGGCTGAGGCCGAGGCTGAAGGCAGACTGAGGCTGAGGCTGAAGCAGGCTGAGGCTGAGGCTGAGGCAGGCTGAGGCTGAGGCAGGCTGAGGCTGAGGCTGAGGCAGGCTAAGGCTGAGGCTGTGACTGTGACTGCCGTTGCCACTGCGACTGTCATCGCGAATGCGACTACGACTGCGAGAACAGCAGAATTCTACAACTGAATTCTCATCTGAATCCAGATATGCTCCAGATATGCTTCCAGATATGCTCCTACACATCGCTGTTAGGTTGCTTTGCCGGGATAATTATGATTGCCCCGTCAGACCAAGCCGAGTCCCCCGAATCCGAGTCTTACGTCTCCTCGACAGGAGAGAGACAAAACGTGGAGAGGGCGAGACATCTGCTGGACAGAGTCCTGGAACAACGGGGAGCAGTATCCGTAGTGAGTAGATGTGGAGGGGATTTTTGTGGTGGTAGGCGGTTCTGAGTCGATCGGGAGGTCGACCATCCTTGTGCGGGCAACAGGCCGCACGGTTGTGAGTTCAACCACGATCGCCGTTCTGAGGACGACCGAGCACGAGCAATCTACAACATGTTGGACGTGCAGTAGAATATCATGGCCCCCGCAGTTGCGGATAACAGTCACGTGGCGGGGCTGAGGGTCGTTGCTCGGCAAGGTTCGAGGGCAGCCGCGAGGTTGCCTGCCGCAGGCGCCGATCTTTTCAAGACCGTGCGGCTGGGTCGCCGAGATGTATTCTCGACGGGTCGGCGGGCGCGTATCCCCCCGCGGTGGGTCGAAGGGGGAGTGGTGGCTGGACCGTGGGTGTGTCGCGGGGCGGGTCGCGGGTGGATCGCGGGGCAGGTTTCGGGGACGCGCAAACATGGATTAGCGATCCATGGACTTGGCCGCGCAGTCGCCAAGTCCATGGATTGGGGGAGGTGCCCTCCCCAGAATGCGGCCGGCGCCACCTCGTTCGGCGGCGGAAATCCGCGATTCCCCATGGAAACGGGACCCGTCGCTAGTCCACGCCTCCTTGATCCATGTTTGCAATCGCCTGAAGGTTGGGGGTGGGTCGCGGGTGGATCTCGGGGCGGATGTTGGCAACAAGAAGAGCATGAGTTCGCATCGCGGCGCTGGCAGTGGAAGATCGCTCGGTCCCCCAGTCCTCTCGCCTTGAGTTGGGACATGTACGTTCCGCTTTGGTTTCGAGCAGGGGCTCGATGCTCCGTGGGCTATGCCAAGGTGATTACCAAGATTCTCACGGCGACGATGCTGACGACGATGTTGATGCGATGTTGATGATGATGATGATGATGATGATGATGCTGATGATGATGATGATGATGATGATGATGAGGATGAGGATGATGATGATGATGATGACGATGCTGATTATGATGATGTTGGTGATGCTGCTGCTTATGACGATGATGCGATGGTGCTGGTGATGATGCCGATGCACGCTTATGATGATGCTGATGCTGATGACGACGATGATGATGCTGCTGCTGCTGATGATGATCATGATGACGAGGCTGATGATGATGATTATGACGATTGTGATGGTGATGATGATGATGATGATGATGGTGATGGAGAGGTGGAGGATGATGGGCATGATGTTGGTGCTGATGATGATGCTGTTGACCATGATGCTGATGATGATAATGAAGGCGACGATGCTGATGATGTTGGTGCTAATCGCGATGATGATGATGATGCTGGTGGTGATGATAAGGATGATGCTGCTGATGATAGTTATGTAATGATGATGATGGTGATGATGATGATTATGATTATAATGCTGATGATGATATGGTGATGATGCTATGATGATGGTGACGATGACAATGACGATTATTTCGATGATGACTAGGACGACGCCGATGCTGATGATGATTATGCTGACGATGGTAATGACGAGAGTGATGATGATGATGATGATGCTGATGATGATGGTGATGATAGTGATGCTGATGAAAATGGTGGTGGTGGTGATCATGGTTATGATGCTGATGATGATGTTGATGCTGATGAAGCTGAGGATGATGCCAATGAAATGATGATGATGATGGTGGTGGTGGTGATGATGATAATGATGATGATGATGATGATGATGATGATGATGATGATGATGATGATGATAATGATAATGATGATGATGATGATGATGATGATGATGAGGATGAGGATGAGGATGAGGATGAGGATGAGGATGAGGATGATGCTGATGATGATGATGATGATGATGCTGATGATGCTGATGATGATGCTGATGATGCTGAGGATGATGATGGTTATGGCGATGGCGATGGCGATGGCGATGCGATGATGGTGACGGCGACGTCGACGACGACTGCGGCGACGGCGGCGTCCACAACAGACGCCCACGACAGGAAGGACGGCCACCACTGCGACGGCCACGGCGACGGCCCTCTGCGGAGCCCCTCCTGCCGCAGGGGCGCGCCGTGTGCGCGGCCGCCCGAGAAGCATGGCCGCGTTCGGGCCCCGGCTGCTCGGGCGAGCCGCGGCCAGGCCGCTGGGCTGCGCCGGCGCGCTGGTGGGCTGGCAGGACGGAGGGTGGCTGAAGCTCGCCGTGCACCCAGACCCCCTCGCGTTGTAAAAAAATCACGGCAGGAGGCTTTTCGCTATTTTCGGCCTCCGGGGGCCCTTGCCCGGCCTTGGGACCGTCAGAAAACGATTCAGGATGAGAAACCGGTGCCAGGGAAGGGGTCCAGACCTCTGGGGGTCGACATTGCAACAAAAACACGACGTCGGGGGTCTGGGCAGGACACGGGTCCTTAGGGAAACGGGTCCTGCTGTTTCTCGCAGTGTTTGGCTGCCTGGGGTCCACACTGTGGGCCCCGGGATTCCTGCTTCCCTCAGAGCTCGACTCTTCCATGCCAACGAAGCGGCATTGGCACCATCAGTAGGACCACGTCGGCAGTGCCCGTGGGTCAGTGGCAACGTCAGGCGTGGCCAGGCGCAGGGGCAGATTTGGGAGGGGGTTCGGGGTTGGAGGTTCTCGGATGGTTGCGACGTTCTCGGTGGTTTTCCATTCGTGATTTCGTCCAGCAGGTGCGCCTCGCTGTGAGCGTTCTTGGGGTGCCCAGAGCATCCCGAACATCGTCGGAGAGCCGAGTTACATCCCCAGGCCAGAAGTTCGTTCCTCTTGGGATTACAATATGGCAACACCCATGGATTCCATTGGATCCCTTTCTGGGTGTGTAGCAGTTTCATGGATCCTATTCCTGTGCTTCGCGGATCAAATCCCCCGAGTGTGAAAAAACATTGCCCCGAGTGTGAAAAAACAGTGGATCGATCTATTCTCCGGGAGCGCATCAATGCTTACTCATTAAGTAGTTAGTTAATATCCGGCATATACAGGAAAGTTGATCCACGGGGCATTGCACGCGAGGCATCATGCTATCCATGGAGCTGTGGCTCTGCAGACCAACGTTCTGATTCTACGGGGAAGGGTTTTCCGAGGTTGAAGATTGGGGAGGCGGGAGGAGGCAAGGGGAGGAGAGAGGAGGAGAGAGGGGGACGGAGGTGAGAAGAGGACGTAGGAGGACAAATGAGGGAGGAGGGGTAGGGGGAGGGAGGAGGGAGGAGGAGGAGGAGGAGGAGGAAGGAGGGAGGCGGAGGGAGGAGGCAGGAGGGGGAGAAGGCGGGAGGAGGGTGGGGGAGGAGGACGAGAGGGAAACACAAGACGAAGAATAATAAACAAAATATTGACAAGAAATAGCGATAAGAAAACGAGGAGGAGGAGGAGGGAAGACGAGGTGGACGATAACAAGCAAAGTGCCAAGGATGCAAGCTCGAGCGCCACAACTGGCCCGACCACTTCCCCTATTCGCTCCCATAACATGTGGGTGCTCGAGCGCCACCTGACCATCACACAGTCTACTCCCATCACGTACGGCTGCTCGAACGTTACAGCGGGCCCTGCCAACTCCCGCATCTCCTCCCATACTCAACATATAGCACGCCCTGATTCGAAGCGAGCGCAATTTACATCCGTTCACTTGAACGGCACGGCGCATCCGACATTTAGGGCTCGAGAGGAATCTTTCGGCCCGCGTGAGACCCGAAAACCAAGGGACGACGACAGGGAGCTCAGGGGGGAATAGACACCCAACCCCAATGGCCCATTCATCGCCCGTAGGGGCCCGATAGCCTACACCGCCCAGGACCGTGCGGGTCTGCAATCGGGGGCCTGCCGTTGATGTGTCGGCGATGTATCGCCAATTCCAGCCCGATGCGTTCTTTCCCTGAGCCGCTCCCCCATCTGTCGTTCCCCTTCAACGACGGAGGGGGAGGGACATCGCTCTTGTTGCATGTTTGGGGCCTTGTTTGGGAAGGTGCTCGTCGCCATGACTGGGTCCGCCCCGCCCTCATGGCGAGGGCGGGACCTTCCGACCCCAGACCCCCTGAGCCAGTTCCCCTCTACGGCGCCCCCCATTGCGAAGCGGCACCGGCACCACCAGTAGGGTCATGTCGGCAGAGCCCATGGGCCCACAGAAGGCAGCTGCACAGGCACGCCACGAAGCAGAAGCGGGTCCTGAGGGGAACGGGTCATGCGAGCGATTCAGAACAATGGGTTCGATTGTGCCGACATTCGCGCGTAAGTTGTTGGCGTAAGATCGCGCCGACGTGCCCTCGCTTCCTGTGAAGCCAGCGTGCCGCTGTCGGCTGGTGTAAGATGCGGCGTCAGGTCGCTTTGCGATCTCGCGCAAGATCCCGTTTCTGATTGTCGCTCCTGTTTTGTTATTGCCGGTTGGCCTCCTTGGGCCCTCCCTGGGCCCTTGGGACTGCTTGAAACATCGAGTCCGAACGATGAGCTGGCCCAGGAAGACGGCCCCTTGGGTCCAGGACCCGCCTCCCCCTGAGGACCCGTTTTTGCTTCATGCCAGACCCACACGGCCAGCGCGTGCCGCGTCGACGCGGCGGCGACGCCGTCGCGAGCGCTCCAGGTCGAGTTCCACCGCCGTCCCGAGCTCCGCCAGGGTTGGCTTCAGGTGTCAGAGGCGGGCGATCGTTCCGGGTCGAGCGACCGAAGGCGGCGTCGGAAGCCACCGTTTGCTACGGCATCGCGACGTGAGCTTGCCGCTCACCGCCACCACCCCGGGCAGGGGCCCTCTTGGGCCCCAGGATGATGTACAGTAGGCCCCTTGTTACGGCCTTGGCCAGGGACGGGTGATGGCGCACACCTGCTGTTTGTCCAGGTGCTCGGGTGGAGCGTTTCGGCGGTGTTGGGCCTTTTTTCTGCCTCCGGATCTCGTCAGACTGCCATGAGCCATGCTGTCCCGTCGAGTCCAGCTACCTCGAGGGCTGTCCGTGCGCGACTCCAGGGTCTGGCCGCCACACCACCAGCGGGGCCACGACAGCAACCCCCACAACGAGGGGGTCCACGAGGGCTTCCCTGGAGCTGGTAGATCGCAGATCCCAGGCATCCGTCGGCACGATTCTTTCACAAGGTGGCTCCGCCTGGAAGCCTTCCTGGAGACCGGCTGTTCATCCTGAGTCGTTTTCGGGATAGTCCCAGGGCCTGGTGAGGGCTCGCGGAGGCTGACCATTGGCAAGTGCCTCCCGCCACGATTTGGTTCGCGCCGCGAGGAGATCGGAGGTGTCCCCAGCCGGCGCGCCGCCCTCGAGTCGGCGGCGCGCCGGGGGGAAATAGACAGAGGGGGCCGGCCTGTGCTCGGAAGGCGGCTGGCCTCCTCCGAAGCGAAGAGGAGGAGGGCGAGGAGGAGGAGGAGGAGGAGGAGGAGGAGGAGGAGGAGGAGGAGGAGGCGAGGGAGGAGGAGACGAGGGAGGAGGAGGAGGAGGAGGAGGAGGAGGAGGAGGGAGTGCCTCTGAGGAGCCCCGCCGCCTTCTGAGAAGGCCGGCCCCTCTCTGCCTCCCGTCTCTTTCGGGGCTCAAGAGACAGGGGTCCACGCAAACGGGGGTCCGTCAGAGCGCCGGATTTTGCAGGATCCTGCAGGGCCAGGGTCGCACTGACCCCGGCATGGGTGCAGGATCCTGCAGGATCTTGCAGGCTGCAGGCTCCTGCAGAGCCTGACTGACCCGGGTTTGGATTGACTGGGGCCAAATGACTTCCAACACCTCGGGCGCGCTCTTCCGATCGAGGCCTCTGCTCCATGCGATGGTGCTGGTGCTGGTTCCCCCTGTTCGGATGCAACTCCTGGGAGGTTAAATTCTGACCTTGCCCTGGTACCGAAATCCAGCTTAATCCGGTTTATTCCCGCTTAATCTGGCTTAATCCCGCTTGATCCGAGGCCTACTCTGGCGTAACAGCCCCCCAATGGGGCTTAATCCTCCTTAGTCATTCCAGCGAAAACCTCCCAGCTGTTGCCTCCTAGCCCCTGCTCCCTGCAGGGTGGCCTGGGCAGACCGCGAGAGGACGACGACCGGCCTCCCCACCGAGGCGCCGTGAGGGGACAGCCTCGGGGCTCTCCAGCTGTGTTCCCCTCTTCTCCCTCTTTCCCCTGCCCCTCCTCCCCATCCTCTTTCTCCACGTCCCCCCCTCCTTCCCCCGCCCCTCCCCCTCCTCCGCCTCGTCCTTCTCCTCCTCCTAATCCCTCCCTGTCGCACCCCGAGGCCAGTCGAAAAGGGGGACCGGGCGTTTCCCCCCGAGATTTCCTCACCATTTATGATCTTGAAGCTTAGAATTGGCAGCAGTTTCACATATAGAGCGCGGGTGGTTTTCAAAATGTGGCTGTCGCCTCAGCGCCGCGCACATTCGCTGTGACACTGCATCAGTCCAGCGGATTGAGGGCTGGTTGGTTTTCAGCATGTGGTTTTTGTTTTAGCGCCGCGCGTATTCGCGTAAACAAATTGCAAGATTCTACAGGCATACGCCACATCCGCCGACCCCTTCTGTGACTGTCGCGAGGCCAGGAGTTTCTGGCCAGCGGCGTCTTGTGTGAGGGTGCGGTGTCGCGCGCGGGTGGTGGCAGATACGTAGGGGGTCCAAATGTTTGCGTGATGCCAGTGGTCTGGGACGTGTTTTGCGAGCGCCTTGCGTGCTGTGCACCCGGGTGCGGGGTGTCCTTCGTGGAGGTCGGCTTTTCGACCCGCAACCAAGTGGAGGACCACCGGGAGACGAAAGGAGCAAGAGTAGCGTGCGGAAGCTGTGATCAGCGAAGCATCACCGCGAAAGATGTGGCAGATGAGTCGAAGCGGGTGAAGAGGCTGTTGACGTTCGCAGCGCGCACGAAACAGTTCGCGTGGCAGCAGCACGTTCGCGCCGAGCAAGATTGTGAGCACGTCGCGAGAAAGAGTAAGGCTGCACGCGCGGAGTGCATTGCAGTTGGCTTGACGGCTCGCAATGCGGAAGCGTCTGGGGGTCTTTTGGAGGCCTCCTGGGGGCCTCTTGGGGGCTCCTTGGGGCGTTTTGGCGGCCTCTTGGGGGCCTCTGGCGGCCTCTTGGGGCACTCGTGGGGCCCCGTGGGGCTCGTGGGGGCGGAAAGCTAGATTTTTGAATTTTTGGTTGCCCTCTTGGGCCCCTCTTGGTGCCGTCTTGGAGCCTTCTTGGGCCGTCTTGGGGACCTCTTGGGCCGTCGTGGGGCCGTCTTGGGGGCCTCTTGGGCCGTCTTGAGGCGGTCTTCGGGGCCTCTTGGGCCGCCTTGGAGCGTCGGAAAACCCACGAGGCGAATTTGTGAAAACTATACGTTTTACGAAGGAAATGGATATTTTTTTGCGTCTAGGGACCATCTTGGGACGCATATCGGAGACGCCCGTGGGGGCGTCTCGGGTTAGCTGGAGGCCATCTCGGGTGTCTTCGATCGCTCTTGGATCGCGTGGGACCATGTTGAGCTCTCTGGGAAGCCACTTGGAGCGCTCCTGGAGCGCTCTTGGGGCCGTCTTCGGGGCTCTCTTGGGCCGTCTTCGGCGCCTCTTGAGCCGTCTTGGCGCCCTCTTGGGCTGTCTTGGGCCCTCTTGGAGGCTTCTTGGACCGTCTTGGTGCGGTCTTGGGGGCCTCTATGGCCGTCTGGGAGCGTCGGAAAGCCCAAAAGGCGAATTTGTGAAACATATACGTTGTTCAAAGGGAACGGGCCAACTTTTTGCGTCTAGAGGCCCTCGTGGGGCGCATCTTGGATGCCTCTTGGGGCCTCTTGGGGGCAAATTTGGGCCGTCTGGAGGCCGTTTTGGGTGTCTTCGATCGCTCTTGGACCGTCTGGGACCATATTGATCTCTTGGAGGCCACTCGGAACGCTCCTGGAGCGCTCTTGGGGTTGTTTTCGGGGCCCTCTTGGGCCGTCTTGGACGCCTGTTGGCTCGTATTGGGGCCCTCTTGGGCTATTTTGGGACCCTCTTGGAGTCTTCTTGGGCCGGCTTGGGGCGGTCTTGGGGGCCTCTTGGGCCGTCTGGGAGCATCGGAAAACCCAGAAGGCGAACTTGTGAAAAATGTGAGTTTCAACAGAGGGAATGGGCAAATTGTTGCGTCTAAGAGCCCTCGTGGAGCGCATCTTGGAGGCCTCTTGGGGCTTCGTGGGGACCTCTTGTGCCGTCTAGGAGTCCTCGTAGCGCGTTTTTGGGCCACCTTGGGCGTCTTGGAGCGCTCGTTTGGCGTCCCGGGGCAATTTCGAGGCCACCGGAGGAGTCCTTGCAGGATTTTCGGGAGCGGATGACCTCCCCGGGGGAATCGGGGAATTTGGCCAGACCCGGGGGAATCGGGGAATGTGGCCGGACCCCCCCCCCCTCCAAATCGACCGGACCGGGCTCCCGGGGGAGGGGTGTGGGGACGGGGAAGATCTGACACGCCGATGAACCCCAAGGGGTCGGCGGATTTCCACACGTTGAGGGCGAGTCGCTTTCAACATGTGGCTCTACCCTTAGCGCCGCGAACATTTGTTTTAAACACTTGCAAGAGCTTCACGGATTGAGGGAAGTTGTTTTTACCAATATGTGGTTCTCGCTTTAGCGCCGCGCACATTCGTTTTAAACATTGGCAGGGGGGGTCATGGATTGAGGGCGTTTTTGTTTGCAGAATGCGGTTCTCGTCTTAGCGCCGCGCGCATTGGTTTTCAAATACTCGCAAGAGCCAGCTTTGGTGGTTTGGAATTGATGCCAGAACTTGTGTTTGGAACCGTTCAGGACTGTCAGGGCGCAACACCTACCCTGATTCGCGGTGTTGAGTTCCCAGGAATGGTGTTCTGGCGCAATTCAGGGTCACCAAGACGCGCCAGACAGGTGAACTCATGGTGTTGAAGTCCTGAGAACTGTGTACGTTTCAGGATTTTCACACGGTTGCCCCCCCTGCCAGCAACTCCTTCTGTGGACATGAACTCTTGTAGAGGCTTATGAAGAGGGAGGTCGGAGGGAGAGTGGATTTCAACATCGTTGGTGAGTATTGGGTTTACATTTGTCCTCGACCTCCTCCTCTCCCTCCTCCTCCCTCTTCCCCTCCTCATCTTCCGTCTGCCGGGAAGAGGAACGACCAGCATGTCAGCACACATTCTCGGAGTTCCGCGCAGGTTCTCTCGGTTTGGCACTCGGGAGGCCCACTCGTCGCCGCGGTCCCGATCGCGGCTCGCCTTCGGCCACGCAAACGGCTGGCGTCCCGACAGAGGAGCTTGTTGGGAATTACGGAGGGGCAGCGTTCGTGGGGGAGGGGCTCGAGGCTCGAGGTGGCGGAGTGTCTTCGTCGGTTCTCTGCGGCTTCCGGCCGTAGGGTGTCTTCCAGCAGTTGCGCAGCGCCGAGAGCGTTCTGGGGGTGCCGAACGGCCGTCGGAGGGCCGAGGCAGAATCGAAGAACAGGGGGGGCATCAGCGTCAGGGCGGGATCCATCGCGACCCCCAATCGCCCACGGAGTGCCAATATTGGGCTGATGCAGTGGAGGCCCATGCCAAGAAACACCCTGCTTGCCTCCAGGGTGCCCTGGGCTTCTTGGGTTCCGATGGTTCTGCCATGGAACGCGTTGCGTTCCCACGCCAAAAATCAATGGGCGTCCTGGGGTTCCAGGGTTGGGTTTCGTGTGGACGGTTTTTTGTAATCGGGCCGCCACTGTATTGGCCTGATAGTCCACCCAGCCCAGGAGCGTGCGTACGGTAGGTTCGTGTCGTGTCGACCGGCGGCGACCCCGCTGGCGGCGTTCAATGTTGAACGCCGCGGGCGACCCAGAATCGTTCGACGTGGAACGATTTGGCCGTTTCGGGAACGGCCGATCGTTCCAGGTTGAACGATCCCCGCGGTGTCAGAAACCAATGCCGAAGTCGGCACGACACGAACCTTCCGTGCTTGCGCACTGATCTTGGCGTCGGGGGGCGGGGGGGAGGGGGGGGGAGCAGCGAGGTCTCGCCGCTCCCCTCCCCCGGGAGCCGGTCCCTCCCTGTGACGTTCCCACCTCGGTGACGCTCTCAAGGGGAGGAACCTCTCGCTCTTGCTTCGCCGTTGGGGCCCCTGCTCAGGGAGGTGCTCGTCGCCATGGCTGGACCCGCGCCGAGTCCGACTTCCTGGCAGGGACGCGGACGTCGGGGAGAGCTGGGGGCAATCTCTGTGAGAGGAGGGCTGGGGGGGGAATGGCCGACGGGGTGGCAGAAGTGGAGGGCGAGGGAGGGCGGGTTCCAGGCCGAGCAGCGGGGGCTGGGGTCGAAGGGGGGCGGGCAAGCCTTCAAGAAGGCGTGTGGGCCTCCACGAAGGGACCGACCGGCACGGGCCCTCCCAACGCCGTGTGTCCCGCGCCCCCCTCACGGGGGTGGGGGGCCCTTGGCTTGACCCGGCTCCCGTCTTCTGGGCGCCGCCGGAGGCGCCGGAGGGGGCGGGACGGCGGAAGGCGAGACAGAAGAACTCGGAGGTCCGCGCGGATTTCTCGGATCGGCGCTGGGGCCCCCCGGCACGCCTCCAGCGCCGCCCCTGGCGCGCTCCGAGCGCCAGGGAGGGGGGTCCAGCGCCGATCCGAGAAATCCGCGCGGACCTCCGAGTTTTTATGTTTATGTCATCTTTCGTTCCCCTACTCAGGACGCAGATGACCCGTTCCTCGGAGGATGAAGCGTTACCGATACCGCTGCCCTTCCCGCATGGCCGCAGCTGGATTCGCCTCGAAGTCCTGGTCGGTTTGCGCCACGAGGAAAGTGCTGGAGAGTAGCGGCATGGGCATCGTTGTGTTCGCCTAGTTCTAGAGCGTTTCAGATACCAAAGCATTTTGATCGTGTTGGATTTGCGCTCTTGAACGGCCGTTTCGCCCGATGTATCCTCCGGGCTCACTGGCTCTGAGAGATGGCAGTGCTCTCAGGGGGGACAGGAGGCAGGGGGGGAAAGGATCACCCCCCTTCGGACATCCAGGAGTAGCGGGCGGACGGATCTGAGGCTGAGGGGTGGTGCTGGACGATCTCTGGCAAGCTGGGACACGTCGCAGGGGTCTACCCGTCCAGTTGTTGTGGCCCTGTCTAATCCCCCTCCGGCGTTTCCAGCCCTCGCCATGGC